AGCCGAATTTAAACAATCAAACTGCTGGTTAGCATCATGGGTATTTGTTAGTATTACAGACCAATTTTCTTCCATTATTAAATCTCTAAATTTATGGTTGTTGGCCTCATTAAAACTACGTACGTTGGTTTGAGTTGGATTTTGATTATAAGATGCGGAGCGGTAACTGCTGGTGGATGTATTATCAAGATTAATTGTTGTAACTATCGCTAAGTGATCCGACAGATCTGTCGTTAATACGTTGCAGCTTATTGTATCTTCAAGATTGTTCGTGTAGATATGATCAATAAGCGTGGCACTGTGGTCTGTTATGCGAGTTGGACGTGATACAATTTGGATGAAACCGTAAGAGGATGCAATATCTATAATGCTTTGACATGCCTGGTTGCTACTGTGCTTCAGTAAATTTAGGTTAAAATCTCCATGTAACGTCATATGTTTGCGAGAGTGTCTTCCCAGGTTATGAAGTGTACTTTTAAAAATCTCAAGAAATGCTTCAGGTTTTCTAGCGGGAGAGCGATAAACATTTCCAATTATCTTTGTTCTATTATATCCTTTACACTGGTGGATCTTGATAAATTGAAATTCGCCGCTAGTATTTGAGGGTTCAGGGTTGGGATTGAAAACATCAATTTTATCAGAGTCAACTACACGTTTGTGTATGTATATGGCAAGCCCCCCACCTTTACCCGTTGTGCGGATGGGATCTTGAATATGCGGTTCATGGAATCCATTTAATGTGATGTCGTTTATTCCGTTGGGCAATTTTCCTAGAGTGCAGTTAGTTTCGTTAAAACACAATACATCATACTTATCATATATTTCTATATCTTCTCGTAGTTGATCAATATTTTTGAAAAGGGATCTGATGTTCATGGAAAATGTTTTAAGTTGAGAGGATGTCGACCTTTTCACGTTACGTTGCTGTTTATACTGACAGTGAGTTAGGAAAGCCGAAATGTCACTCCATGTTGAATCCTGGTGCTCTTCGTTGGTCATGGCGTCTCCAATAAGATTACATCGACTATTTTGAGCGTATGGATTATAAATAGCGCCATTAAGCTTATTGTAGTCATCGTAAATTTCATAGTAAGTCGCGTAAAATCCAGGAATAAGACTCTCACAACAGCTTGTACAACCTAAATTTTCCTTAAAACATTTGACGTGGACGTTGTTATGGCACCATGAGCAGCTGCGGATGTTTTTGGAAGAATAACACCAACCGCTACAGCTACCACATTTTATTTTGATTTTATGACCAGAAGTATCAGCAACATTTCCATTCGCTGCCATTTTAAATTAACTCTTATGCTTGTGGAAGAATTAGAGAATAAAAAATGTATAAATTTATAAATAACGTAAAATATATCTATACTAGTGCAAATCAGATTCTTTCACGAGAACCGGAGGTCCTGTATGTTACAGAATCGTGATATGAGTCTTATCTACTTATTTGTTAAAAATATTCGCTAAATCAGATGTAACAATATAGTGCCCTTATCTCGATTCTCGGGCTTATCAGTATGATAATATGACTTTACCTAGAGTGTATATTAAAATCGTTGTGATTTTGTATGTTGTTGTGTGAAATTGTGTAGTTTTGTGTTATGTGGTGATTTTTGTTATGTGGTGATTTTTGCTATTTAGTTGTTTGTGAAGTTTTCGAAAATACTGTTGCACTGAACTTTGACTGAGGAAACTGCTTGATGCTGATTTACCAGAGAAGCTTCTATAATTATTAAATAAAATGTGCACAGTTTTGTTTGGTAATGTGAAAATGTTTTAGGTAATGTATGGTAGGATGATAAGAGACAAAAATGCTTGATAGTTAAAGAATGTTCATCAGTTCATCTGAGGAACAATAAGATAATCAGCTTTGTAGTGAGTATATAAGTGAGCATTTATATTAATGTAAGTATGATAATTGGTTGACGATGTCAAGCACTAGAATGCTAGTTAGAATGCTTGTTCGCGCGGCGCGCCGAAGCGGCGAAGTCCTCCAAGTATAATAATAATATCATGTACGTTTTAATATTTAATGGGTACTAAAATCATTTTTAATTTCATTCCAATTCTAATTCTAAAATAATCAATCTGATAATGTTTTGTAGCACGAAAAGACTGACAAGTGTTCACGCGTGTCATTCAAATAAAGATTCCCATCTGTAGAGATAAAAGTAGAAGCAGGACTGGCTAAAATGAAAAAAAAATAGTATTTATTTTAAATAGTATTAAAATAATATACATATTATAATATATAATATCAGCAATGCAATGACCCTATATAAATTTAAACCGTCTACCACTGTAAATCGGTAAACAGGAAGGGGGGGGGGGGGGGAACGCGCGCGCCAACAGGCAACTTTGCACCACTGCCTTGAAGCATGAAGGTTAGCTTGTAGTCGATACTTAGTCCAAAAAAATTGATCGAGATTTATTTAATTTGTAATTGAAAATGTCAATTCATCGCAGCTTGGCAAGGCACAGTTGCGCATTTCGCCAATCTAGCGAGAAGCATAATTGAGTGCTCGGCGCGGCACAGTAACGCATTGCACTACAAAAGATTTATATATTACTAAAAAGCCCGTGGTCACAATAAAACAAATATTTAATAAAACAAATATTTATTTTCACGGCAAAATCAAACAATCAACAATAAATAAATCAGAGGAGGTTTGAAAAGGTTTCAAGTGCCAAAGGCCACTGCTTATTTTTGGATTTGAGAGTGACCTGTGCTTGAAACACCCTCAACCAAACACTACGTCAGTATACTTATTATACAAATATAATAATCTAAAATTACTTATTTGTCTAGTTTGGTGACACACGAGAGCCCAGTTGAGTTTTAGTTTAGGTTGAAGTTGTAAATCATAGTTTAAAAGGTTAGCCATGCACCATGTTTCATGGCAGAGAGAGAGAGAGAGAGAGAGAGAGAGAGAGAGATTTCATGTGTGCAGAGCCGTACCAGATATACAATTTGAGACATATTTTAGTTGCCATATTATTATTATATTGTATTAGGATCATCTCGATTTTGGAGGGATAGCAAGTGCTTTTTAAGGTTGGATTTAATAATACCTGATGAGGCTGATAAGGATCGGAATTTTTTGAAGAACCTGGGATTAGCATCACAGATTTTGAATACATAGGGGATGAGATCATTCCAAATTTTCGTAGAGGTATACAAAAAGTTCTGTTGGGGGATATCAAACCTCAGTAATGGGACGATCAGACGAAGTTTTTCATTTCCAGGACAGAACTTGAAAAGATCTTTAATCGACTGGGTGACATCAAATTTAAGAATTTTGAATAGTTCCATAAATGTATGATACATTCTCCAGGTTCATAATTTTCTGCTCAGTGAACAGCGGTTTAGTGTGTTCAAGACAGTAGTTCTTACTAGCCATATGTTCATTCGGCTAGGGAGGAAGGTAACAGTATTCTTTTGTAGTTAATATCCGTCACAACTGAAGATTCAGCCAATGAAAAGGGGATTAAAATGCAAATGTAGCTTGCACTGAACACAACGTAATTACCACAAAACCGATCAAAATGTCGTGGGTGCAGGTGGTCGTACAGACAGACATAATTAATTCTATGAATTATAAGTAAGACTAGAAAGCCTGTGGTCACAGGGAGGAAGGTAATAGCACTCTTTGATAGTAAGTTTTTATTGCATCAAAAAATATCCATCACAACCAAAGATACAGCCGTTACCATGGTTACTATTCAACTTCTATTTGTTTAACTAATTTGCATGTGGGCGGTCGTACATACAGAATAATTCTTTGAATAGTATAGATGGTTTTTACACTCAATAATAAATGGTCTAAAGTTTGTGGCATCAGGCGAGGAATTTTGTGCAAACGTAATACATTCTGTATTGTTCCTTTCACAGTAAGGGATTAAGTTCCATCTGCTGGAGTAGACATGAAGCAGTGGCCTAATTTACTTTTCTGGATAATAGATAGTTATTGATTATCTGAAAAATGTTTACTTGTATTTGGTACTTACTGACCAGACCTTTGTATTGACCTGCTAATACGCTGTCAAATGCCTTGCTAAATCAACTCATAACAGGAAAGTGGTAAATGTTTTCTTCTTCATCAAGAATAGCTGTTTCTTTTAGATCTAAAGCCCTCTTGTTCTTCATCAAGTATATCCTCTAGTTCACATTGCAGTGTAACTAATTCATTATTCTTTCCAAGATCTTTTCAACTTATGATGAGATTGAGATTAGTTTATAAGCAGAGGGGTTTGTGTAGTTATCCTTTCCATCTTTTTTTATTAAAAGCCCTCGTCCCTCACGCAGCAGCCATCACCTTACAAAATGATTTATCCTTTCTAGTATGAATATTGTATGTTATATTTATTTATGATATAGGCATAGCCAAGTTAAATGATTATTTATTTATATTGGCTGAATAATTGTACAGCTTCATCAGAACTCAAATTGTTTGTTATACAGTGTGTAGAAAGTTTTAATTCCTTTTTTGAATTCCCTCAACATGAGTATTTAACCAATAAATCGACTCTCTGTGGAGCTGTAGTGAAAGGGAAATGAATTAACTAACTAGTAATCATTCTTATTAATTCGTTGTGTGTTTTGTTCAAATGTCAAGCTGATTGAAGAAATCATAATCTTTAACGATATGTTATACATAATGCACCTTCAATTATTGTGGCTATGTCAGTTAATCTGTTAATCTGCCTGTCTACTGGTCCGTCTTCTAGGGGGTTAAAAGAATACAAGTCAATATATCTGACATATCCCCTTGATCTAAAGTTCACCTTGCTATAATTAGATCAGTCCACAAGTCAAAATACTGCAATTAAAAGTGGGTCCAGTTGGCAGTACCATCTGTCTTAATTGCTATAACTACTTACATTTTTGTGTTGTATTAACTTGTAATTCAAACTTTAATTTGTAACCTATCTCACTTAACAAATAACATCATAACTCTGTAGACAATGGAAAAGTTATTACTAATCTTCTGTTGGATTGTCACCGCACATTCTCTGGTATCCAATTTTCATCATAAACTCAAAAAACGACAAGCAGATTTGATAGACTTTAATGAGCAGGTAACATCTTCATGTTTAGTTTCATTACTTTTAAGATCAGATAGTGTAGTCTGTCTAGTATACAATTCAGTTTGCCTAGGAAAACGGTTACTTTACAGTTTACAATACATGACCAGTAAATATTTAAAATCATTACTGTAGTTATTTTGAGCCTATAATATAACAAATGTACTTTTCAGTGTACAGCAGTATTCTCAACAATGGACGTGAGCTGTTTGACGAACATTTACTCCCTTGTGGAAACATACAAGGCAAGTAACTTTATTGCCAATTAATCACTTTATCTTCATTAGTTTTATCAATTATTGGCTATCTGCAAACGATGTAATATGATAACTTACTGACTTCCATTCAGATCAATTAGTAAACATTATAAGCAGTCTTTATAAGACACGAACATCAGGAGAAATAATGAACTCGTTATTTCAGAATGTAGAGAAAGAAGCAGTGAAATCTTGGGGGTCACAGTGTCAGGATAACATCTACGATTGTTTATCTAGTCCTGATGGAGAAACTGGACAGGTCAGCTCCAGAATTATTTTTGTAATTGTCTGCTGAGCTTTTGCAGTTTCCCGGTTTTTATTTAAATACACTAGGAATGATTTTGGAGTAGAGCTTCACTTTAAAACTGGTTACTGGTGCGTGCTTCTGTTAGGAATTGGCACAAAAACTGGTTTCACATAGCAAGTGGTGCTTTAACTGTTGCATTGCGCCGTGTCATCGCAATATCATGTTCCTAAAACATTTTGACAGCTTGAACTGACTTCATATTTCACTTAGTCCAGTGAAAACACTATATTACTATATTAGCATTTCATGATTGGTTTAAGTTAGCACACCATTGCACTTTGTCATCGCAATATTGTTCTCAGACATTTTGCCCTTGAGAAATTTTTACCCTTGAGAAATTGTTTTACTGTTGCAACTTGTAAGCCTGTTGTTATATGACATTTTATTAATGGCCCGGAAAGTGTAGCAACAGCATGTACCAGTGGCTATCAGTTAAGGTAGATGATGAGCTAATTTACGTATAAGTTGTGTTAGTACTATCATTGGCTAACTTGCAAAGCTTTTGTAGGTTCCATAGAATACTTACCGTTTAGTGGTGGGGAGGGTAAATGAAAATTATTATATTTGAAATTTATTTTCGGCAAACGGAGGTATACAATTTTCTGAATTGTCGTGTTTAGATGGGGGAGTATTTCTTTTATTAATGAGTATGTTGGATCTTTCCACATCCAGAAAGTTTTAAATTTCCTCGCAGGTCAAAATTTCCATCCCTGAATGTGGATCTTGGTGGGTAGTTAGTTATTTCTCAGGCGCCGATTGGAAAATTCCTTTAAATGAATCAAATAAACAACTCGGGTTTTCGCCCTTTTAAGGCTTTCAAATCGGTGAAATATCAGATACATACATTAGAAATAATTAGTCAATGTCAAGGAAATTGCCGTAAAGATGTCAGAAACGCAACGGTACATAATGTCAGCGTTATTTATGTTTGACTTGAACCGGAAAGTTCTGACATACCATTTCTGACTTGCCCTAACTCTAAACATTAAAGGGCACATTTTGTAACGCTTTCAATCTTAAATTAAAGCATGACTATATATATATAATAGTAATTGCCTAGGCAGCTGGACCGAAATTCTTGCGGAAGTATTTATTGAGGGTACAGTGCGTGCAACTTTTTGACTATGATTTCCGGAAGTGAAGTATCGAGACTAAAATAAATCGAATCAGTTAAGGAATTTGTTTATACATTCGGTTATGTCATCAGAATTATCCACAGAAAAGTCGTATTGAACTGTAAAAGTAGATAAGTTAGCACTGCTAGTTAGTGATGGCTTGTAGAAATATAATTCATAATTTATTTAGAATATTATCTTAATTAATTAGTTAAATTTACTAGAAATTATGTAAGCATATCACGCAACACAGATGTGATTTAAATTTTGCTAACTCAACAGCAGGGACGTAGCCAGGATTATTTTCCGAGGGGGGCTCCGAGCTGCCGTGCGAAGCACGCCACCGGCAGGGGTCTGGGGGCGCAGTGGCCCGGGTAAATTTTCGGCTTTTATACTTGCTAGAATAAAATCTACAATGATGAATTAATGCACTAGTCTCAATATTCAATTTATAAAAAGTTGGTTTTAAACAATTTTGAGTGCAATATTATCCATTTATAGCAAATGAGAGCAGTCAAATATCTGAAAATATCATAAATACCTACACAGAGTTCACACTACTGAGTAACTGAAATACATTTTACTCATTACTGACTACCCACATCATTTTTAGCCCCCCCCCCCCCCTGGCTACGTGCCTGCTCAACAGTTAACCAACAGTGAATTCTTTATTGAGACAGTACTTTCTTACAATTACTCACGAAAGTGTGAAATATTGGAATTTGTGGGTGTTCCCTGCGAAGCCTACCGTAATCACGTATTACTGCACATTTTAGCAGGGGATGTAGCACTGACACGGCTTTGTTGTAGTGTTTCACTATCTCAACACGGGTGATTTTATTCTTACAAAATTATTTGTCTTAAGATGTTAAAATAGGTGTTTTATGTTATTTAAATTATTTGTCATAAAATATTAAAGCGGGTATTTTTAACCATTAAAATTATTTGTCATGAAATATTAAAACGGGTGTTTCGTTTCAGGTAATCGAATACTTCAAAGTGCTGCTGCCTCAAGTTAAGGCACTGTGCGCTCAGGGATGCATGGTTCCCATCATTGATCTTATCCACTCTTGTTTGAAACAGGTAAAAATCCTTACATTTAGGGTTCACATAGTTTCATTAATTGGACTTTCGAACAGCAGTCATCCTCGGAATGTGAACGATTTGGTTTTAACAATCGTTATTCTATTAATTTTCTATTGTTCACACCAGCGTTTTACCGTATGTAACTCTTTTTACCGCCTTTTTCTGATTCTGGGGTTACGACAATGTTTGAATTGTCTCAGGAAGCGTTGGACGAAATTGGATTATCAAGATCCGAAACAGAAGATATATTTGATTTGATGTGCATACAGGAAGGTTAGTCTGTCAAGTTTTTATTTTGTTTTTATTTTAAAACCTGTAAGATGTATTTTTAACCTGTGAATACAAGTCCATAACCCATAATTACTCCAAGCTCTATCTCTATGATCTAATTAATATAACGACAATGATAAAACTAATTGATGATGATAAATGTAATTACTATGATGAATGATAAAACTAATTGATAACCCCTCTCTTTCTCCTAACAGATAGCTCAGATAACGGGCAAGAGGGCGAGTACTGTATGATAAAAGCCATGACAACTGCTTCCTATTTATACCAGGCTAATCAAATAAAGGTTAGATTTCTAACATTTACACATTGTGTACACAGTGAGGGAGTGACTGTTATAGACTGTACAGTTTACATCATGTGAATAATAATCCACCTTCCTGAATCCTGATAATCTCTCTCGTAATGTGAGGTGATAATTGGATAATTGGATATCAAGATATGTGGTGATATCTCTGTGTGGTGGATAATGTCATGATCAAGGAGTACTCCTAGTGTAGCTATATAACCCAATCAGAAAGTATCACACTTGGACTTGTGTGAGATCTTACATTCTGAGGTCACCCTACAAATCTGCTCAATTATTTAGCTGAAATCTTATTAGGATAAAATGTGATGTAGTAGTAAAGGTTACTCTGGATTTTTAAACTTTGTTAACACGGCAAACACTACTAGGTATCTACTTCAAGTGTATGGAAATTGTATGTTTTATTTCAGAATTGTAATCTAGATGCCATTGATCTGACCTCGTGTGGGCAGGATGCCAACAACGAACTTTGTACATGTGACAAGAACTGTACCACGGTAAGAGTCCTCTTAATACCTTACTCGGGAATATTATGACCGGGATAAAGTGGCGGGTTTAGGGTAATTTCGCCATATTTTTCCCGAACCACATTTTCACCGGTCGTTAATAAACCCGCCGACTCAGCTTTTAGTGTTCCCAAGGGGTATGGGAGCTCATATTTTAATCGTTGTCTTATATTCACTAAAGAAGACTATTGGGACACTTGTTGTAGGTTTTTCGACTTCATTTGGCTGAAATTTCAAAAAATTCACCTTTTTGCCCAATTCTTGTCATATATCCTTACTGTCAAAGTTGATTTAAATAGGCCAATTTTTAATTTCTTAGGTATTGACTATCTCTACATAATGAAATAGGACTCAAAGTAAAAGTAACAGTTAAATTAAAACTTAAAATTAATTAAAACTGATGAAAGGGATGATCCAGATGAAGATAACAAAGATGATTACAACTTATTGGAAGACTAAACAGCTCTCCCTTTATCTTAATATCGATCTGGTTGTTACGCTTCTAATGTTAAAAATTATTTTCCATCTAGTTTGATTAACCACGAGTCATTATTTCTGTCTACTTTCAACAATTATTGATAATTCGACTTGTTTCACAAGTTTAAGCAATGCGAAAATTTCTAAACTTGCTTATCTCTAATAAGGAAATTTACACCTGAGACAAAATTTTTGAATCTAAAATTGAAAGGTTGGACACCAGTAAAATGGCGACCGGGAAAATGTGGTGGGTTTTGAGCAATTTCGCCATATTTTTCCCGAACCATATTTTAACCGGTCGTTAATAAACCCGTCGTAATAATCCCGAGTAAGGTAGATCACAACAGATTGTTATATTTTTGTCGAATTTTGGTTCAAGTTGAAAGTGAATCCAGCTGACTATTAGGTAGCAATATAAGTTAACAAATTTCTTCTGAGAAGACGATCGAGATCATGTTCAGTTGGTTGTAATACTAATTATAGTTCTGAATTGTAAAGGTTAATTATAATTTATTTCCAGCTAATGAAGAGTGGTAATGCTCTAATGGGGTGTTGCATGGGTACACTCTTAGATTTGGAGAACGCTTTCAAGTATGTTCTTATTTTTCTGCTCTTTATGACAAATTCTTTTGTTATTGGCTTAAATTTAGAAACTAGTGGATAATAGATATTAGATAGTCGCTTTTCTTTCACATCTTTATAACCACTTTAAGACTATCACCATTCACCAATAAAACGTATAATTTTTCTTCAGTATGTCTCATCCGGACTCTACCGACATCTTAAACCCTGGCAGTCAACTAATGCAACTATGTGGAGTAACTCCTGGTGATTCGTGTAAGGTTAGATCTATCCTTCATTACATTTAATTAAGAGCACAAGTACAGTATATTTTCTCGAATGTTCCACTTTTAGTTGAAGGTTCATAAGTAGTTCTTAACAGAAATAATACATTTTTCTTTCAAGCTTTTTCAGTTTTTTGATTCGCAAACCTCTCATACAATCCAACCATAACCCGGCGAATACCTAAAACATGATAATTATAATATCAAATGTATTATATAGGGGGGGGGGGGGGGGGCTCATGTTTTTTTGTCCGTTTTTGTCCGTTTGGCAGCTATATTTTCAAAACGGACAAAAAATAAAGCGGACAAAAACGGACAAAAACGGACAAAAAATATTAAAAATGGAAATAACATTTAGATGCTTCCTCCTCCTCCTCCTCCTCCTCCTCCTCCTCCTCCTCCTCCTCCTCCTCCTCCTCCTCCTCCGCCTCCTCCTCCTCCTCCTCCTCCTCCTCCTCCTCATCCTCCTCTTCCTCCTCCTCTTCCTCCTCCTCCTCCTCTTCCTCCTCCTCCTCCTCCTCCTCCTCCTCCTCCTCCTCCTCCTCCTCCTCCTCCTGAGTCTTCCTCCTCCTCCTCCTCTTCCACCTCCTCCTCAGTCATCCTCCTGAGTCCTCCTCCTCCTCCTGAGTCCTCCTCCTCCTGAGTCCTCCTCCTGGGTCCTCCTCCTGAGTCCTGCTCCTCTTCATCCTCCTCCTCTTCCTCCTCAGTCCTCCTCCTCATCCTTCTCCTCAGTCCTCTTCAGTCCTCCTTCTCCTCAGTCCTCCTTCTCCTCAGTCCTCCCCCAGTCCCCCTCCTCCTCCTCCTCCTATTTAGTCCTCCTCCTCATCCTCCTCAGTTCTCCTCAGTCCTCCTCCTTCTCAGTCCTCCTCCTGAGTCCTCCTCCTGAGTCCTCCTCCTCCTTCTCCCCCTCCCTCTCAGTCATCCTCCTCTGCCATCCTCCTCAGCCATCCTCCTCAGTCCTCCTCAGTCCTCCTCCTCAGTCCTCATCCTCCTCCACAGTTCTCCTCCTCCTGGGTCCTCCTCCTCCTCTTCATCCTCCTCCTATTCCTCCTCAGTCCTTAGTCCTCCTCCTCAGTCCTCCTCATCATCCTTCTCGTCAGTCCTTCTCCTCCTCAGTCCCCCTCCTCCTCCTATTCAGTCCTCCTCCCTCTCAGTCATCCTCCTCAGTCATCCTCCTCAGCCATCCTCCTCAACCATCCTCCTCAGTACTCCTCAGTCCTCCTCCTCCTCCTCCCTCTCAGTCATCCTCCTCAGTCATCCTCCTCAGCCATCCTCCTCAACCATCCTCCTCAGTACTCCTCAGTACTCCTCAGTCCTCCTCATTCTCAGTCCTCTTCAGTCCTCCTCCTCAGTCCTCCTCAGTCCTCCTCCTCAGTCCTCCTCCTCCTCCTCCTCCTCCGGGGGGGGGGGGGGGGGATCATGTTTCTTATCCGTTTTTTCCGTTCGGAACCCTATATTTTCAAAACGGACAAAAAATAGAGCGGACAAAAACGGACAAAAAATAACAAAAATGGAAATAATATTTAGATGCTTCCTCCTTCTCCTCCTCTTCCTCCCCTCCTCATCCTCCTCCTCCTCCTCCTCCTCCTCCTCCTCCACCTCCTCTTCAGTCCTCCTCAGTCATCCTCCTCCTCCTCCTGAGTCCTCCTCCTGGGTCCTCCTCCTCCTGGGTCCTCCTCTTCATCCTCCTCCTCTTTCTCCTCAGCTCAGTCCTCCTTCTCAGTCCTCCTCCTCGTCCTTCTCCTCAGTCTTCCTCAGTCTTCCTCAGTCCTCCTCAGTCCTCCTCCTCATCAGTCCTCCCCCCATATCCAAAAACCCGCATTCTCGCATTCTAAGAATGTAGGAAATTTTTAAAAGTAGGAAATTTTTTACAAAAAGTAGGAAATTCGAGAGCCAACTCTGAGAATTTTCGATAATATTTCAATAGGAATTTAAGTGAAAGAGCAGACAATTTATCCCAATAAAAATTGAAATCAGAAAATAGTATGCTAAAATCGTTCTCTATTGTCAGATTCGTTCCAGGAGGCCAAATCTAGTTTAAATTTCCAAAATTGTCAAAATTTTCGGGGGCTTCGCCCCCAAAAGTAACCTAGGATTATCTATTAAAAAGCATTCCGGGCCCTAAAAAAGTAAAATTGAGAATCTGGAATCCGCCATGAAAAATCTTTGAACCGCCGCAAATACAAAGACTTTTTATGCGAGCGAAGCGAGTGGGCCACAGAAAACGAAAAAATTGAGAATGTAGGAAATTAAAAATTTTTTGGATATGGGGTCCTCCCCCAGTCCCCCTCCTCCTCCTCCTATTCAGTCCTCCTCCTCATCCTCCTCAGTTCTCCTCAGTCCCCCTCCTTCTCAGTCCTCCTCAGTCCTCCTCCTCCTGAGTCCTCCTCCTCAGTCCTCCTCCTCCTCCTGAGTCCTCCGCCTGGGTCTTCCTCCTAGTTCCTCCTCCTTCTCCTCCACAGTCCTCCTCCTCCTCCTCCTCCTCTTCCCTCTCAGTCATCCTCCTCAGCCATCCTCCTCAGCCATCCTCCTCAGCCATCCTCCTCAGTCCTCCTCAGTCCTCCTTCTCCTGGGTCCTCCTCCTCCTCTTCATCCTCCTTGTCTTCCTCCTCCTCCTCAGTCCTTCTCCTCCTCAGTCCTTCTCCTCTTCCTTCTCCTCCTCAGTCTTCCTCATCCTCCTCAGTCCTCCCTCCAGTCACTCTCCTCCTCAGTCCTCCCCCCAGTCACCCTCCTCCTCATCCTTATCCTCCTCATCAGTCCTCCTTCGCCTTCTCAGTCCTCCTCCTCAGTCCTCCTTCTCCTCCTCAGTCCTCCTCAGTCATTTCCCCAGTCACCCTCCTCTTCATCCTCCTCATCAGTCCTCCTTCTCCTCAGTCCTCCTTCTCCTCCTCTTCCTGGGTTCTCCTCCTGGATCCCTCTTCTCCTCCTCAGTCCTTCTTCTCCTCCTCAGTTATCCTCCTCCTCCTCCTTCTCCTCCTGGGTCCTCCTCCTTCTCCTCACCAGTCCTCCTCCTCAGTCCTCCTCATCCTCTTCATCCACTTCCTTCTCCTCCTCCTCAGTCCTCCTCCTCAGTCCTCCTCCTCCTCCTCAGTCCTCCTCTTCTTCCTCCTCCTCCTGGGTCCTCCTGATCCTCCTCAGTCCTCTTCCTCCTTCTACTCCTCAGTCCTCCTCCTCCTCAATCCTCCTCTTACTCCTGAGTCCTCCCCTCCTGAGTCCTCCTCCTACTCCTACTTCTCAGTCCTCCTCCTCATCAGTCCTCTTCACCAGTCCTCCTCCTCAGTCCTCCTTCTCCTCATCCTCCATCTCCTTTCTCCTTCTCATCCTCCTCATACACCTCCTTCTCCTCATCAGTCCTCCTCCTCACTCCTCAGTCCTTCACCTCCTCCTCCTCCTCCTCGTCCTTAGTCCTCTTTATCAGTCCTCATCAGTCCTCATCAGTCCTCCTCCTCCCCAGTCCACCTCATGGGGCCTTTTCCTGGGTCCTCCTCCTGGGTCCTCCTCCTCTTGGGTCCTCATCCTTCTCCTTAGTCCTCCTCCTCCTCAGTCCTCCTCCTCTTGAGTCCTTCTTCTCCTCCTCCTCCCCCTATTCATTCCTCCTCCTCAGTTCTCCTCAGTCTCACTCCTCCTCAGCCCCCTCCTCTTCCTCCTCAGTCCCCCCTCCTCAGTCCCCCTCCTCCTCTTCCTCTCTTTCATCTCTCAATAATTTGTTCGATTTATAATTACTGTTGGTGTTATTGTTTACATAATTTATTGTTATATACTAAAATGTTTTTAAACGCATTTGAGTCTGACTCAAAAGGTGCTCAAGAATCTTTGTGTTTAACAAAGTTTTACTCTCCAGTAATAAAACTTTTCATCCCTTTTTATGTTATTAAAAATGTGTAGACTATTCTTTGTGCCTAATTGAGGATTGAAAGTTTGAGAAAGGACCATGGTCATTAACCGGTCTACCCATTTCTGCAGATAGTCTGTTACAAAATGTGGAGAAAATTTAAATAAAAAGTTACAATTTTTGTCCGTTTTTGTCCGTTTTTGTCCGTTTTTGTCCGTTTGGCAGCTATATTTTCAAAACGGACAAAAATTAACGGACAAAAACGGACAAAAACGGACAAAAAATAACATGATCCCCCCCCCCTATATATCGTACAAATTACGGGAATGTAAACAACTAAAAACCCTGCAGACATCTAAACAAGTAATAGCGGACCAGAAGCAGCAGTATGCCGAGTGTGCCGGCACTCTGCAAAAGAACGAGGAGTCTGAGTGTATAAGCCTGGAGAGGGAGACACATGTGAGTGTTTTTAGAGCTGTACTATCGTGTCATTCCTCAAGTCCTTTCAAATTGACCCAGCTTTGATTTTTCGTTTTAGCGCCGTTTTATCGAGTTATTTCCCGCCGCGCGTAAATCCTCAAAATTGGACACCTATTTTTTCAAGCTGTGGTGTTTATTGCCGGTACCGTGACATGAAGATTGGAACCGTTTTTAATCATTACTTCTTTACTGTGCAGGCTGTACTGTAATTTATCGTGTCCCTTTTTTATCGTGTCCCTCCATTCACCGGGTATTTATATCTTCACCTGACAGATAAAGGGGGGCCTTGACTAACATTAGAGGTTCAGTTAGAGTGAAAACTAGTTTTCTTGAAAATGTGTGGGATGAAAGTTAACTTTGAGTACGTTTAGACAGCACCTGAGAGAGGATTTAATTGGACTTCTCGTCGCCACTAGGGAATTGGGACTCCTTCCTAGATGGCTACCGGACAACTGAACCCAATTTTGACTTTTCCTAGACAGGGTAGCTTGGGAAAATAATTATAAACCCAATCAGTCTACCTAATTAACTTTGAAACGACAACTGAACCCGATCGTCACTAGAAATAACTTGACAGATAAACAGGTTTCCAAATGCCGCTCTAATTTAGCTGCTGCCTGGTTTCTACTGCTATAATTTCTGAGACAAAACAGAGACAATATTTCATTAATGTAAAATTTAATAGGCAACTGTAATAAATAATAATTATTATTAAATATCTCATTTTTTTTAATTAAATACTTTTCAAATTTTACAGAGTACAGCAATAGATGAATATAAAATAGGATCGTTCAAAATATCGCCCCCATCTGTAAAATATGATGGGCACCCAAACACGGTAAACACATAGTGAACTATGTCCGCAGTAACTTGGACCCATTACATCGAATTAATCTAAATCCAAAAATTTATGAAAAACTATTTAATAACAAACAAATCCATTTAATAACAAACAAATCCATGGTGAATAACTGTGGATATAGAGTCAAAATTTGTATTTCAATACGTCAAATTCCAGATACATTAGATACAGGTCTGAAATGGTCATTAATGTGTGAGAAGGTGTGCGGGTGAAGTGTGATATGATGTTGAAAGTATAGGAAGGTAGATACAAAAATTAATAAAACAAAAATAATAATAATATGGGGAGCAAAGAGACTAGGCTAGACTGTTGTTTCACTATCCAATAAACATTTCCATAGATGCTTAGTGACCTCAGCTTTGGAAAGACTAGTAGACACAATCTGTCTTACCTGTAAAGGGAGTCCATTCCACAGTATATGGGTTCTGTAGAAAAATGATTTTGCCAGTGGGCTATTTGAGGTACATGTGGTGTGTGAATTCTGACTTAACTTAGGTAAAATTGATGACACAATAGACAGACTGTCGAGGTGGCAACGTCTTAGTCGAGAAGTGCCCTGATATAAAGAGAGATAGTGAGGCAGCGATACAGGAATTAAATTGTTAAGAACTTTGTGGAAAAAATAAGATCATTCAAGTCAAACTTTTGAGCCAAAGGGAGAATGTCGACAAGCTTGCACTTTTTGACATATTGCTCAGGTGGATAACTGCGGCCCTCTTCAGACAGAATCCATTTAATAGCTCTCTTTTGGAGACTTTCTAATTTATCACTAAGTGATTTATTACAAGGGCGCCAGATTATGGAACAATTTTCGAATTGGCTACGAACCAGGGAGAGATAAAGCGCCCGGTGACGTTTCTGATCAATGACAATATGGCCATCTCTTCTGACCATACCAAGTTGTTGGCAGGCCTTAGTATAAATTCTGTCGCACTGACTATTCCAACTTAGCTTAGGAGTAACATCGACTCCAAGATCTTTTTCTAACTCTACATACACAAGAGGAGAGCCATCAAGATTATATGCGAATGGAGGAGATAAAGATGGTTTTCCTGAAACAATAAGCACTTTACATTTTGCTGGATGGATACAAAATCATCATAATATTTCTGCTCAAGCAGAAGATCGTGTTAGGTAATAGGATTGCATAATTATGATTAAGATGATATTGAACAGGACACAGGTGTCTTGATCGTGACCTTTCTAGGACCATTAGGGTCAGTTCATTCAACCATGCGTTTAAGTGAACGCTGTGCAAAATATACTGTAATTTTACCATTGGTTGACAACTAGGCGAGGTAGCCTTCCATTGGTTGTAAGTCATGTGACCTAGGTCACATGACCATAGCAGGTGGATTAAGCCTCATTTAACCTCGGTCAGCTCGAGCACTAAACATTAGTGTGACGTCAGAATAGTTATTAAGATCGGCACGGCAGGTAAAATAAATACAGATGTTTCGTGCCGTAAAAGTTAGTTTTTAGTTTATTTTAAACCACTTCTCCTAAACTGTTGTTTTCCGTTGTTCCCAAAACAATACAAGAGAAGCACCCCGTTAACATTGGCGACGAGGATGGGATACCTTATCACCTGCTTATTACCTAAATAAATCAATCCAAACTACAAAAAAATATATGTTAATGTGATGACGATTACCTAACTGTAATAATAACTGATGTGACAAAGTAAACATGTCTTGCCCCTATTTTGAAGATCTATATATTCTATAACTCTATTAGAATTTAACATTCTTTCAGAAAAAATTGGTAGAATATTGTCCAGAACATCAGAGCTCAAGTTTAACAATTTTAGGTTAAATTTGTCAAAGTCACTAAAAATGTGACAAAATTAACTTTTCCTGCCCCAACAATTTCAAGATAGTGTGTAAAAATTAGCATAGGCTGCCTTATCACCTGCTTATTACCTAAATAAATCAATCCAAACTACAAAAAAATATATGTTAATGTGATGACGATTACCTAACTGTAATAATAACTGATGTGACAAAGTAAACATGTCTTGCCCCTATTTTGAAGATCTATACCTCTATTAGAATACTATGTAATTTTATCATCAAAAAAATGTCGATAAACTAACTAGTTATTTTGCCAGCAAGGAGCTGACAGAGTTATAATAATTTTTTTGTGACGAAATTACCCTATTTTTGACCATGTTGTGGTAGTTTAATTGTGACACTGTTAACATATTACCACACGTTAATGATTTATGTGACTGGTGCATGGTACTAGCAGTGTTGTTTGATCCATAGTACGTAATACAAAGGGTTTAAGCTGGTATATCATTATTTGTTCAATTTCACACATGTTCAGATATCATCAAGATTATGTGACAAAGTAAACTTGTCTGTGCCTTCTGTGTTTTAATTCCTTGCGACTATATGATATAATAACAATTCCTAGCACTTCCAGGCCATTAACTAAACCTACACTACTCAGCATTGCTTATCAGGGTTCCCTAAACATTGTTCACATATTTTCTTCAATGTGTGACAGAGTAAACCTGAGTGCACCATCTAACGAAAAAAGTCGTCAAATATGTAGGTAATGGTCATATGTACACATCCAATCAACTGGACACTCAAAATTTTGGTCGAAAACGGCAGCAAGGGGTCCATATTTGCTCTGTCACATGTTTATAGTGTGACAATGTAACCATTTCCGTGCCGGCCGTATTTAAGCGATATCTTATCACCTGATTAAGATATCGTTATGTGACAAAGTTAGCCTAGAGGATTAGACGATTATCCTAACCATCAAGGGTTTGTGTAATTTCATAGTGTGACAAAGTCAACTACACTGTGCCTTTTAATAGGGTCACTTATATTTGCCGGTGTCCTCGGACTCGGGTGAACGTGTCCATATACATATCTGCGTTTATTGTGGGCTTTTTCTCCACTACCGCTCTATACATATCTGCTCTGTGGTATCTATTGTGCTCGTCTCTGAACACATATCCGCTTTATTGATAACAAGAATATCCCCAAAATTGGTAGTTATTGAAGACATCTTTGTCCCTCGCTGACATTTCTTCTTCTGTCCATTCTTGGCAGTTTCTTTTGGTTGTGTTCGTCCAGGAAAACACACAACTCATCTTTTCGAAACGGTGACGAGAGAACGTGCATTTCTCTTCTATTTCTGCCCGGGGGCAATACTAGTACAACTTACCTTAATAAGGATAATTAAATTATAAATAATAATAATAATAAAGACTTTGTGATATACAATTGTTGCAGTTGTTTCTCTTATTTTTCTTCCCTTGCTCTGCAAGCCCTGATTCTTGTATAAACATTGTGTTTAGTATTTTTTATATTGTATTAATTGTGGTAAATTGTGGTTCAGATTTCGGTATTAGTAATTATAGGTGTTTGCTGAGTTACTGTATTATACACTCTGTTGCCAGCTCTTGTGTGTCCCATCTCTTGCCCTGCAAGCCCTGTTTCTTGTCTATACAACATATTATAATTGTGCAATAAACATTTATTGTAGCGTAGGATTATTTGAATTTCTATTTGCTAATTCATATAATATTCACTTTATGATTGTTTCGCCCATTTTTCTTCCATTGCATTGCAAGTCGAGACCTCTTATTGAGACCCGATATAATAAATACGCTTTATTTAATTTACTCTTCGCTGGATACTGTAATAAACACTCTGTACATGGTCCTCTTATCTTTCTTCCCTTGTTATGCAAGCCCTGTCTCTTGTTTATACAATCTTTAACTCTATATTGGGTAGATTGCGTAATTATTATGGATTTTATATTGAAGTTAGCCCTGCACTGATTTCTGTATTAATAATAAACATATTTGATGGACTACGGTATATACAGTTAGTTTTCTCTTGTTTTCCTTCTCTTGCTCTGCAAGTCCTGTTTCTTGTTTAATACGGCATATAATTATCGTGTATCGTATTGTAGAATGTAATAAACATTGGTAATAGAGTAAGATTATTGGAAATTCTTTTTGCTAGGTTTATAATATTTAATTGTATAATTTGCAATGGTTTCTCCCGCTTTTCTTCCCTTGCACAACAAGCCCTGTCTCTTATGTTTGACTTTGTCGATTGTCTTGCGTGGTTAAACTAGATGCAACGTTCAA